CTGGCTTGAACTCCTCAGGGTCAGGGAAGTACCGTGGGTCTCTATGCAGTGCATAGGGCACGATGAGTATTTGAGAGCCTTTCACAACCTTGTATCCCCCTGTCATGAGATAGTCAATATGTCATGAGAATAGAGCAAGACAGACACAGAAAAGTCCACTCTCCCCACTACTCTCATGGAAGAATTCTCACCAACATCACAATCTTCATTAAGATCACGGGCAATTAAAGGCACAGAAGGAAAAATACGAAGTGTCTCCTTAATAACACAATCCAGATATTTAAGTTTCTTCAGGTCTTCTAAGGTAGCAGGGCAATCAGAATTCCCTGATCAAAGTAAATACATGGAATAAAATAAATGAAAGAACGATTTGGGCTTGGAGGATAAGACATCGAAAAAGAATATATTATGACATCATTACACTGAATATTAAATACCAACAGCTAAAGTAAAATTCTTAATACTATAGATAATCAAAATAAATTTGCTAAGTAAATAATCCAGACAATAATGCTAAGTAAAAAATCCAGATGCAAAAGGTCACATGTTGGATCATTAAATTTGGAGGAAGTACTCAAAGAAGATAAATCCATAGAGACAGAGTGTAAATGAGGTGCTGCCAGGGGCTGGAGGAAGAGAAAATGGGCAGTGGCTGATTAATGGTGCAGGGTTTCCTTTTGGTTGCTGAAATGGGTTGGAATTAGATAGAGGTGACAGTTGCATAACATTGTGAATGTATGAAATTATAAGTTTAAAACATTTAATTTTGAATTCTCAGAGCCTCCTCCAGAAGTGTATCTTCTCCTGGGTCAGATTCTTGGACTCTCCCCATAGCCTGGCCTCTGAACACCCTCTATTCCCACTGCAAGAAGAAACCAAAATGGTTTCCTGGACCTGCCAACAGGAGAAAAAAAACACAGCAGGAAGCAAATGAACATACTGAGAAAGCAAAAAATGAGATAGACCAAATCAATGAACAAGCCAGTGAGCAGATTCTGAAGGCGGACATATAGTAAATCCTGCCAACCACTGTTTCTCAGAAGAGGTTGGAATTGATGGTCCAAATCCCAACTTTCGAGCAACAACATTTGCAACCATCTCTATGCCTGCACTGCTCAGGGAGACACATGGAAACGCACTGTGTTATTTAACAGAGTTGAAGTACAGAATTGAAAGCCAGCAGGAAGAGGCCGAGAAACAAAAATCTGGTCTATGGCCATTCTGATGCAGGTGCAGGTAAGTTGGGAGAGATCATGGAAGGTGGTATTTGCCAAAATCCAATTCATGACTACTTGCTTCCTCATATGGAAGATGAAGACGGGGAAGGAGAAGAGAAGAAGATGATGATGGAGGGAGAGAGAGGATTGAAAGCTACCAATGAACAAGCTGATGAGGATGAAGGAGACGGTGACTGAGGAACACGGATGGATTCCAACCTTCTTTTTAAAAGTTTCCTCCAGTCACTGGGAGCAAGTTACAGTCTGGGTTTTGTTTTGTTTTACTCTTAGGCTCATTCATTCTGCTCCTGAAGTCTTTTCTCTCCCTTACATCCTGGTTCTCAACTTTTTTGGGAGGGAAATACCTTGAGCAGAATACAGTGAGAAAAGAATCTCTAACATTTTGTCTTCCAAATTGACTTTTTTTTTCGTTTAATGTATTTTTATTTTTTCCATTGATTTTTATTTTTTTCTTCATTGATTAATGTATTACATATGTATCCCTATCCCTTCCTTCCCCCCCTACCCTGCCACTCATGCCCTCAGCCCCTTTTGTCTGTGTCCACTGGTTAGGCTAATATGCATGCACACAAGTCCAGATTCACTTTCATCCCTTCCTGACTCAACAAACACTATATGGAGTCAATGCCCCTGTGCTCCGTGGGAAAGAAAAACCTGCTTACCTTGCTCCACTGAAGGCTGGAGGCTCAGCCCGCTCAGTAGTGCACAGAATTATAACTTTTTTCCTCTTTTCTCTGTACACTGAGCACACAGATTACCCTGTGTCTCTGTGAATGTGGACAGTTAGCATTTACTGACATTCACCTGTCTACTTTCTCTTTATGGAACATCTTTTAAACTAAAAAAAAAACATGGGTTTATAGAAGGTCAAAGGGTAGATATGACATGAATGGGTTAGGTAAGTAGGCATTTTGATAAAATGGCTTCCACTTTGATATGTTTAATTGTGATGTTTAATGGACTTCCTTGCAGTTTAATATGATACTTTTAAAATAAAATTATCTCCTAATAATGGGTAGGACCCCGACACTCAATGGAACAATAGGAGACCTGCAGAATCTTATTTGGAACTGTCATTCTCTATTGTAATTTTTCCCTGTTTATTTTATTTTATTTTTTTTGGTTGTTTCACTGGAAAGAAAAGATAATGCTCAATTGTAAACACTAAAAGTGTACCAGTTGCTTTCCTATAATGAAACTAAATATGAACTTTACCCCAGGACAAAAAATAGGAATAAATACTTATATCTCAATCTCAACTAAATGTAAAGTTTATCCCAGTAATCAAAAAAAAAAAAAAGGTGGAATAAATACTTACATCTCAATATCCAAAGATCAGATGCTCAAAAAAGTTTTAGAACTAATACTGGGGATAGAAGAGAAGTGAGGCACAATTAGCAAAAGCATGAGAAGCAGCAGAATAAAAATTCTAGTAAAAATGGTGTCACTGATTATGTGAGATCCAAAAGCATTTGTGACACCTGCATTGGGCTAGAAATTGTAAAAAACACAAACATAGGAACACATTCCAAAAGAACCTGGGTTTCTAGAATACCCAATTTACCCACCAGAGGCAATCTGAGAGAAATTCAACTTGATACAGGAAAAATGAAATGACGACAGAAACAGAGCTCAGAAGTTTAGATAGTCTCCAATCTATGAAACAAAGTCTTCCCTCTTTTTTTTTTAGAAATACAAAGTCTTCTCTCTGGATGTGAAAATCCAATCCTCACACCATCTGGACATGAAATTACTTTTCCAACTTTACCTATCAATGGGTTCTAACAAATGTTCTGAATTCCACCTGTCCCTCAATGCTTACTGTTATCTTCCACCTTCTCCACTCTGCCATTGTGCAACTGGAGCCTCTCTTTCCAGAATGTCTTCCACCTCCTCTTCTTTTCCTTTATTATTATTCCTTTCCCATTTTGCACTGGAAAATCCATCAGATACCACCTTGTTGGTTGGCCAACCCAACCTTTACCTTTCTCTTCCCAGCCATGGGAAGCCATATGACATCTGATTAATCGGATTAATCTGATTAAACAAAGAATTAAGTTGATGGCTCAATGCAAAGTTCCTTTGTGATAGGCTGATTATGACCCAAAAATATATCAGTCCTAATCCCTAGAACCTTTAAATATTATTTTTTGGGGGAAAGGTGCTTTTGAAGATTTTATCAAGGATCTTAAAATGGAGAGATGATCGTGGATTATCTAGAATTTCTATTGTGCTCAGCCACCCAGTTTGCAGAATTGGTGACAGCAGTCAAAGGAGACTAATATTATCCTTCATCTCCTCCTCCCCTTTCTTCTTGCCTTAAAGATAAACATGAGACCCAGAATAACAAGCAAGAAAACAAAACCCATGATGATGAAAATGACAGATAGAGAAAAGAGCAAGTCCCAGATTCTCACAATATCCCTACAGGAATCAGCCTAGGACCCCTTACCTACAAGTTACTGGTTTTACAAAAGAAATGTATGTCCCATTAGCTTAACCCACAGCAATTCTATATGAAACAGCTCTCCTTGACCCGCTAACCAGCTTCACCTCTCCTCTCTGCTCTCCATTAGCCCCTTCCTCATATCGCCCAAGCACATGGCCATGACTTGATACTTTATACACAGTGTCTGCTTCACCTATGAAGCGCGAGGTCCTTGAGGACAGTGACATTTATCTGTGTAGCCCCCGCATCTAGGCCAGTGAAGTCACATGCCAGGCAAACAGCTAACGCCCGTAAACATATGGATGAGGTTTCACAAAGGACATTCGGCCTGGCAGGGGTCTCATATGGCAGCCTTCCTGCTTATTACAGTGTCTTTAGAACAGACCCAATTGCACATTCTTAATGAGCAAGAATGCCATTTGCTTCAGAAACTTGGGACCTTCAATGTAAGTAGTGAAGGGGCCATACATACCAAACACTTCATCCAGTTCATTGCCTAATTTTTTCTGGACTTCTGGATAGCAACCCAGTAGGTACAAGGCCCAGTTTATTCCAGCTGCAGTTGTATCATGGCCCTACAAATGTAAGAAAAAAAAATAGCTTAGAAAGCAGAGTTCTATTGAGAAGGTTAGGGATGCTAACTCTATTTTGAATTAGCTCTGGATTTGACAGCTGTGATATGACCCCGGACAGAACAAGGTAATTTTATACAGTATTTTACCTCTGTGAGGAACAAACCAATGGAACAATGCCTTCAAAGGGTATGCCTCTGGGTACAGGGACATTCAATACTACAGAGTCCCATATTTGGTGAGAGTGGCTGGGCTGGGCTGGGCAGACAGGAGGCATTCTGAGGGAACTGCGTGTGCGGGACTGTTTTTGAGGAAATAAAAGTGTGACTTTCCTGAGCCAAGGGGCCAGATCTGCACTTCTCCACTGTACCCCATTTGAAAGGTCAGCTTTACTCAGACACCAGGGAGCACATGGCTGGTACTGAGCAACAGTCTCCACAACAGGAATTTGATGAATTGCCCCATTTAAACCTTGCAGAGTTTGAGGCAAAATAACAAACATTTTGTAGAAACTAACTCAATTATTCTTCACAGAAAATCCCTGGGGGCCCGGCGGCATGGCTCAGTGCTTGAGCATTGACCTATGAACCAGGAGGTCATGGTTCGATTCCTGGTCACAACACATACTTGGGTTGTGGGCTCAATCACCATTAGTGGCATGTAGGAGGCATCCAGTCAATGATTTTCTCTCCTCATTGATGTTTCTGTCTCTCCTGCTCCCTTCAATAAATATATATATATATATATATACTCTCCATGGGATACTTGATCCTCCTATTCACATTTTAGAGATGACAAACTGAGCCCCCAAAAGGTGCTACATGACTTTCCCAGGGCCCAACTGCTTCATAGGAGGTGGAAGCCAGAGTAGGACCCTCAGAGTTTCTGATGCCAAAGCAGAGTCCACACTCTTCACCTTGGGGAGCGTGGAGGATCCGGGGTGAGGAAATTCCAGCTCCAATACTGAGGGTGATGCCCTGAATGAACTTATTCTCTGTTCGTTCAGTGTCTTTAGGCATCAGCCCCTTATTTCCTGTGCTCATTTCACCAGGACACTCCACATACAAAATGGTAAGTTCTTCAGAAAAAAAAAAAGTATTTAAAAATAAAAAATAATATTAAAAATCTTACTGGTCCATTTACCCTATGCAACTCAAATGACCATTGTAATATTTCATTTCCTGGACAGAAGTCTCTGAAGGGCTTATTTTAGCTTCAAGTGGAATTGTTGAGGACTTTTCTGCAATTTAAAAAAGTATATGTTTATAAGTTCCTGATGTGGCATGATTGTATTTTTCACACTTGCAATTTCTTTACAGAAATGACTCTGAACTCCAGACAAAAGCTGGCCCATGTCACTCAGTTGTTTAGCAAAGTCATAGAGGAAGTGCTCTTGTAAAACTTTTTTAATAGCTTCTCTTGAATTTGAAAATGAATTTCCTGTTTTATTTTTGTGTGCGACCCAAAGGCAGCAAACACAATGCACAGAGACAATAAGTGCATTGGCGGAACTGCGCAGGGCAAGAATCAGCCGACCAGAGCATAAAAGACCTGGCATAGATACAGAAGCATGGAACAGATTGTCTGTTCCATCTCAGGGAGGAGGAGGTGGGTGTGTGAGTGGGTGGGAAGAAATCAACCATGGTCATGCCAATCCAGTGCATGGGCACCCTGATTCCCCTGCCCTGACAGACAGCTCTTCGGAAGCTTGGTTCGCACGTATCCAAACACGGGTGCACGGGCACATGGCCCCGGCAGTAGAAACTCAGACTTCACCCTTCTCAGATGCCTGCCCACAGACACAGTGGTCACGTGGTATGAGCAAACAGGTCCCCTGAGTCCACCCCCCCTGCAGGCTGCTCCTGGGTGCCTCAGTGAACAGCTGCTGGAAGCACTCATATCCAACCAAGGGCTGAAGACCCCAGCTTCAGAAACTCGTACTTCCCTCTCCTCGACTGCAGACTTCTGGTCACCACAGTCATACCGATCCAGCACACAGGCACCAAGGCCCATGCCCCAGTGGGGGCTCACAGGTAACTCTCTGAGTCACCACAAGGCCCGACCCTGCCTCCAGCATCTAGTCCCCACAGTAGCGCCGCTTCAGCATGCAAGGCCCCTGAGCCCACCACCATAGCAGACAGCTCCTGGGTGCCTCTGTAAGCCACCCCTGGGCGCACGTATCCAACTTAGGTAGCACAGCTCCCCAAGCAGAAACTGGGACTTGTCCTTCTCCAGATCAGTTGTAGCTCCAGCGTGTAGGTCCCACAAGCACACAGACCCAGCAGATGGCTCCTGGGCCCCTCTGTGAGCTGCCATTGGGTGTGTGCCTCTCCAACCAAGGGCGCACGGCTCCCTCAACAGGGTCCACGATATGCCCCTCCCAGATGCCTACCTCTGGAAACCTTGGTGAGTTACTGAGGAACCTCCTCCCCCACAAGGTCATATTGTTTCAGCCACAGACTCCGAGGTTCCCACAACCCCAGCTACTGACTCCAGAACCCTCTTGTGATTTAGAGAGAGAAATCACTTTGGCCACCGTCCCACTGCCTCAACCACAGACTGCAGGACAGCCGCCTTCAACTGTCATGGGCTCTAGAACCCTCCTAGTGTGTTAAAGAATGACTCTACCCCAGCAAGAGTGACACAACACCAGCCAAAGTCACTGTACCTGAGCCTCAGGCCCCAAGACCAATTTCTCGCAAGCCCGTGGACTTTGGGAACTCATAGTGAGCACATACGAGTGAGACCTCAGGCAACCCTTTCCACAAGAGCTGGAACCACAGTCACATCCACAATAGCTTGGACAATGAAATTGGGGGTGAGTCACATTGCTAATCTGTGATGAGACTTCATCCACGAATAAGAAATTAACATTCAAGACCCAACTACATCAAGAGAACCCAAGAGTTCAAGTAAGGGCCTCCACTATATCACCAAACACAAGAGATCTGAGAGACTTCACCACTGGGTCCCCAAAATCACCAACTACATAGCACCACCTCCAAAAGTACCTGGGCAGCAAAGCAGTTGGATCTAAGACATAGAAACAATTAAAACATTAATTGTTTTTAAAAATAGAGAGACATAAAAACAATCCCCAAAGGAAAGAAAAAAAAATCACCAGAAAGGGAATTAAATGAAATGGAGGCAAGTAACTTGTCAGAGAAAGAATTCAGAGTAATGGTTATAAGGATGCTCAAAGGTCTGGATGACAAATAACCACAACTCATTGAGAAGTATAAGAAGAAGCATAAGAATGTCACCAACATGAAAAGGAATCAAGAGGAAATGAAGAATGACATTAGAAAATATAATAGAAAACTTCAATAGCAGACTAGAAGGGGCTGAGGACCACATCAGTGAATTAGAAGACAAGGTAGGAAAAAACACACAAACAGAGCAGCAACAGGAAAAGAAACTTAAAAACCAGGAGGAGGCCTCAGGGAGTTTTGGGACAACAAGAAAGGAAACAACATCTGCATAATAGGGGTACCAGAAGGAGAGGAGGTGGAGAAAGGAATAGAAAACCAGTTTGAAGAAATAATCACAAAAAACTTCCCTGATGTTGGGAAGAAAAAAAAATAACCATACAAGTCTACAGCTTTTTCTGAAGAAGAAAGTTGATCTGGTATTTAATTAGGGTCTTGAACTTTGTAATTTCTAACTACAAAATAATGACTCTTCATCAGTTATAACAAGCTACTTCAAAATGTTATCAGACTTTTAAAAAATGCTAAAAACTTTTTTAAAGAATTCCTATAAATTGATTATTTTTTTAAGTTAAAAAGAAATTGAGAACAGATCATCCCTTATACCAAGGATCCCAACATATTTTAAAATGTGGCTACAAATAATTCTTGCTATTTCATGTTATTTTTAATTTTACTATTAAATGCTTTAACACGTCTAACTATTAGTGCTGGCTATTTCTTCATCCTTAGCCTTTTCTTCTCC